TAAAATAGTGTGATGCTATTTTAGCCAAATCCCTAATTCTATATCTTAAGAGTGGTTATCTTAAGTGTGAGTTTTAGGTTCTAGATATTTAAATAAGTGTGTAATATCTTATTTGAATTCTAGATTCAAACCCCAAGTTAGGCTAAGAGTGTGTAATATCTCTTAAACACCAACTTGGTTTATCCATCCCTGATTTTCTTCCATTTCATATCCCCCCATTTCTCCTCTTAATCTCACTCTTTTCTTCCAATTAAAATACCCAAAAGAACTCCCTCATCAACTCCATATATTTCTAGTCCATTCCCCCAGAAAAACACCCTTCTTCCTGCCCAGAATTCTGCCAAATAATCGATTATCATTCCCCACAATCGATTATCAATCCCATTGGAAACACCTGTAGGGATCAATAATCGATTATCCCTTTAAGATAATAGACTATCATCTTCCCCAGAAATTCTGCAGCTTTCAGTAATCGATTGTCACTTTGTGTAAATCGATTATCACGTCCCCCAGGATTCCTGCAGTCTCTAACAATCGATTGTCTCCTTCTGTCAGTCGACTATCAGCCCCTCTTGAAGTTTCACGGCTGTTCTGGTTTGCTACCAATTCCTCCGTAATCCCGCCCTCAAATTATCTAAATGATAAGACCTCGGGTTCGGGTATAACATTAATGGTGGTATTAACACACCATTAAAAATATTACTAATAATGGTGAGTCATGGCTATTGAATGTGCCTTCATGGCATATAAGTTACAAAATGAAGAGCCATGAAAATGCCTATTTAAATGGAGGGACTCTTCTCAATTTTTTTTGGAGAGCATCCATACGTGAGAAAGAAAGAAGATAAAGGGAAAACTTTATTGTTTAATCTTTAGAGAGAGCTCTTGATTTTCCGGCCAAGTTTCCGGCCATCCCCTTTAAAGTTTTTGGTCGCCAACGTTCCTACGTTGTTCTTGTTCGTTGGTGTGTGGTTGGTCCGTACAATCTCCACACACGATAGCGGTTTTATCCTGGGAGGAGAGTGCCCACGTTTTTCCAGTACGGTAGGCGAGCACTACTACCTTAAGGACAGCTCCGGCGACTCCGCTGTCCTTCCGTGGTGTTTTCTTTGCAGGACTAGTTCATAAAGACCTCGTTGCATTCTGTCCTAGTGCATAATGTCGTCGCAGCCCAGTGCATAATGTCCTCGTAGCCTTGTGCATAACGTCCTTGAATTGCTGTCCAGTGCTTAAAGACCTCGCTGTCCAGTGCTTAATGTCCTCGCTGTCCAGTGCTTAACGTCCTCATACAACAAGGCTGTTTGAAGATATAGAAATTTATTTTTTTGACTTTGTTTATTTTGTAATATTCTGAATAAATTATAAATTCAGAATTTTATTTATTTTTTATTTCCGGGACCGTTCGTCTTCCCCGTCCGTTGTAATCCGTACGAGAATTGTAACAATCTTAAGGTAGTAGTCATATCCGTGCGCAATGGCGGGTATGGACGGATTCGGTTTTGACGCTCACACCGGAAACAGGAGTAGTTCCGAGACTCCGGTTGTGAACGTTTCGGCTGGATTGGGTGGCTCTGTGGGGCAGACCACTCCGATCAACATTCCTTTCGGATCGAGTGCGGCCATGGGCTCCACTCCGATCACCACCTTCATTGGATCGAGCGCGACTATTGGGTCCGCTCCGGTCACCTCGGTTATTGGACCAACCGCGGCTACGGCCGCAATGGTCACCCCACTCGGACCGAATATGGCTTCGGCCATACCGGTCATTCCCTCACTTGGACCGAACACGGGTGTCTTCACATCCTCACCGGTCGGACATCCTACTGTTATGCTGCCTGCGAACTCTGTCAAAGAACCGGCAAAGTTCATAGGTGTTGGTTTTAAAATATGGCAGCAAAGGATGTTATTTTGGCTGACCACCCTCAACCTTGCGAGGTA